ACCGATTTTAAATTTTATTGGCTCAACGTGTGCCTATATATCCAACTTAGGTTATAGGAAATTTTGAAAAGTAAATTTAAAATATAAATATGTAATTTTTATAATTTCTAAAAATTTTGACATAAAATGGCCAAAAAAAAAACACTAAAATGACAAATGTCAAAATTTATGGAAAACTCGAGAAAAAAAGATTTATGATTTTTGAAAAAAAAATTTGACAGTTCAAAAAATTTAATTCACAATACAATAAAAGTATATCTATACATATACATATATAGATATACCCAGCATTTATATCCAAATTAGATGAAATGCTATATTCAAAATCACAATTTATAGTTTTAAATCTAATTAAAAGTCAATGTTTATAAATTTGAATAAATGTTGACATGAAAATCGTCAAATGTCATTTGTCAATATTTATGAAAATATTTTAATTATATAAATAGATTTACAATTTATATTTATTTATTAGCTTACCAAATTATTTCGGATACCAAAACTTCATCAAAACCTTATAGATCAGAGATCACAATAAAAAAGCGACGTATTGAATTTAAAATTAATCATAAATAAAATTTGACATTTCACAAAAAAAATGTTTAACGACTTCAATAAGAAACAAATAAATTAATTATTCCAAGTTATATTGCCGAACAAATTATAGATACAACACAATATTGTAAAATAAATATCATATATTAATTTTCGACCAAAAAAGAAATATTTTGACATTTACAAATATACTGCATATTGAATATATGAAATTGACATTCACTATTTCTCAATTAAATGAAAATGTAAAAAATCAAATATTTATATAAAAAATTGTATATTCAGATAAAGATACTGATTTGTTAATTTAGACTGAAACCTGATTTATTCATTAATTTAAAAAAAAATGACAAACAAAATTAAAATAAACAAAACACCTGCATCATGCGTTGGAATTAATTATCGAAGTATAAAGAAATTTGTGTAATTAAAATAAATTATTATTATTATATGAGTTGAGATAAATTTTGATTGCCATCGCAAACGTTAATCATACAGAAAATTGTAACCTCTTAAATGAAATAGTACAATCTGAAGGTATCATTGCAATCTGACAAAAACAAACTAGACAAACTAAATATTATATCATATTATATTAAATTTCGATCCAAAAGAAAATATTTTGCCAGTTATAATTAATTTCAAATGAAATGCAAATGTCAAAAATCAGATATTTATGTAAAAAAATATTTATTTCCACAATATTCCTGTGTTGAATTTGCACTTTTTTATGAATTTAACAATCATATAATATATTCATTGATGACTTAAAATAATTATTAATTTATAAAAAATAAATATTGACGTATTTGACATGACAAAAGTATAATAAACAAAACGCTATGATGCGAGTGAATTAATTTTTGAAGTATGAAATGTCAAATAATTTTGAAAATTATAACAAGTTTTTAACTATTTGTCAGAAAGAATATATTTTATTACAAATTCATACCCATATCAAGCACCAAAGTAATAAATACTATTTATAAAATGACATATTATTTATAGACAATATGATTTTAATGCATATTTTAATTATATGTTTTATATAAATATCGAATAAATATATTTATGTTTCACTTGATTTCAATGAAAATAATTCAATGCCAAAATAAAAAGTATACATCTAAAATTATAGTCTAAATATTACAATTTTGATAAATAATCATCCATTATTTTACAGTACGAAAATTGATAAAAAAATTAATAAAAGTGCCAAAAATCAAACATTTTATAGATTTGGACTCGGATTTTTCAGAACCTTATCCATGTTAGTTTCAGGGATAGTATGAATATCAATTTGCAGTCGAAAATTTATATGATAAGCGATTAAAACATTATAGATCACAATAAAAAAGCGACATATTGAATTTAACATTAATCATAAACAAATTTCTGACAGTTCAAAAAAAAATGAATTTTTAACGACTTCAATAAGATACAAATAAATTAATTATTCCAAGTTATGTTATAGGCAATATTGGCAATCAAATTATAGATATAAATTATATTATATTATATTAAATTTCGAACCAAAAAGGAAATATTTTAGCATTTAAAAATTAAGTGCATATTGGATATATGACATTGACATTCAATATTTTTAAATTAAATGCAAAAGTAAAAAATCTGATATTTATATAAAAATTATATATTTAGATAATGGTACTGCGATGATTCAGACTAAAATCTAATTTATTCATTGATTAAAAATATTTCACTATTTGACATAAATAAAATTAAAATAAACAAAGCACTATGATGCGTTCGAATTAATTATCAAAATGTGAAGAAATTTGTGTAATAAAAATATAACATTATTATTAATATATCATGTATATTATAAGAACTTCTGCAATGCGGCAAAATATTTTTGATGGCAAAACAGCGTTTGCCGGGTCAGCTAGTATATATATATATATACATATATATATATATATAAAGGTGATATTTCAAAATCGAGTAAAAACTTTACACTTTTAATTTGAAATTTTTTATGGAAGCGGAATTTGTTGTGATATAATTGGTTTGATTTTTATAATATAGTTTGTATTTGCTCAAAGTCAAATTGGACCTTTGTGCCTTGCCCTGCTTTACATATATACTTGTTATTAAATTTACTTTAATTCATCGAATGTTACTCGAAACTTTTCAAAAAGCCGGTCAAAGAAGAAATACTTAATTCATTTTCGAGATCATTGAAATAAGTTGCAAGTAGAATTCGCGAAATGGAAATTGAAAATAAAGAAACTGGTAATTTTCAATTTATATATATATATATATATTATAATAAATATTATAATCTCTCTATAATATCTATATAATCTCATTTTCTGTAGTCTTAACTAAAGATGTGGCGGCAAAGGTGATGAAATTCTCCACGTTAAAAACGATACCCGTGGAGCACCTACTAATTTTATTCACGGGTAGTCACAACAAAACTAAAATGGAAAAAATGACAATGTAAGTAATTTAAATCCAAATTCTTTATTGTTCAGGACGTGTACATATTTCTATTTTTTACTGTGATAGATTTAATACTGAAAATTCGAGGCCGGACGGTGTCGGGGACGTCGCCTGGACCACAAGCTACTTGGGGCATGCAGTGGCATTATGTGCCATTGCATATGAGGATGAAGGTATAAATACACCTAAGTCTGTTTTTACACGGAGATTGGTTCCAGAAGAATCCGTGTAAAAAAAAAAAACGTTTAAAAAAAGACATTGATCTTATACAAAAATGGGTGATTTGTTCCTAATCTCTAAAACCTATTAAAATTGGTGAAAAACAAGAATTTTTAAGAACAAGAATTAAATTAGTGCTATTCACATTTGCTTTGACAAGTAAAAATTGTTTGTACGCGCTAAAGGGGAATTCACTTAAATCTTTAAGCTAGTGTTCGCAAACTAACGATACTATAGATGGTTTCAGACTTTTTTCTTTCATAAATACTTTTTTGTGATATGAACATACTTCGCAAAAATTTAATTTGACAAAAAAAATTTAGGTACATAAAATTTCAAATCGTGCTAAATGGAATAAATTCGTGTAAAAAAATTAAAAATATTCAATTTTCAAACCGTGTTATATCAAAACCGTGTACAAAAAGACCGTGTAAAAACAGACTTAGGTGTATAAATATACGAACTAAAAAATCAAAATCTTATATATAAGTATATATAAGGAACTTATATACAAATTTAAGCAATTTTTCATTATGATTTTTCTTATGGCAGATTGCGAGCTCCAGACAGTTGGAGAAGTGCTGAAGAAAGTTCAGGCAGCAATGCCAGCAGAGTGGAAGACGGTGGCTTTGCTGCCGTTTGAAATGCCATATGACGCAAACATATTTATTGATTTATTCAATAAAATCATGATGAATACTCAGGGCGTTAGCCTACAAATTTATCTTGACAAGGTAATGTAGCATTTATATAATATTATATAAATACATTAGTAAATATACTTAGCTATAAGTTGTTATAATATTATTACTTTAGTCCCGGTACGATGCCGTAAATAGGAGAGATTCAGTACGCGGTGGTGGACGGGGCAGAAGAACTCAGCGCGGCAGGAAGCCACCGCGGAGCAATTTCCTCCCTTCAGGAGGAGGCAGTAGCAGAGGCAACAGAGGCGGCAGAGGCAGAGGCAACAGAGGCGGCAGCAGAGGCAACAGAGGCCACCATGGTGGTCGTAGTCGAGGCCAGTCTGACCACAACCAAAGTGCCAATGACCTTACAAAAGAAAAATTTAATTTAGCATCGTCCATTATTAAAACACTAATGAATTTTACATAAAATAAACTGTATAGAAATAAACTGTATAGAATTTCTTGTTATTCTCTTTTTCTTATTATTTTCAAAGAATTTTCTAATGAAGAGTTAGCTACATAAACTGTGTAGAGTTTCTTATTATTCATTAACAATACATTTCGACTTTATATATACTCCAATTGAAAAATTGGCAGCATTGTTGCGTGCTGCTTGCGTGTGTGTGTGATTTAACGAAAGCCCGCGCGACTCAGGCCGTACCACGTTCGCGCAGTGTCGTAGCTGGTCGTGGCTGATCGACGCGTTAGCATGAGTGCGCGCGACACTCGCTCGCTGTTGTAGTTTTTTGTGTGCATGAGTTGTGTGCATGTGATTTTACGACAGGCTTGCGAGGCGTGACATGCGAGCGCGCGCGCCACTCCTTGTCTCAAGTGGTTGGGTGCGCGCGTGTGTTGTGTGTGTGTGTGCGATTCCATGCCAGGCTTGCAGTCGCGAGACTAGCTCATTTGGAATTTGAGAACGCGCTGAGACGTATCAATTGGTATAATATTATAACGTAGTTGATAATTTCCAATAATAGTTTATATTTAATCATATTATTAATTTAGTGTAATTAGTACGTTCAGTGCGTTTATAATCAAGATTATACAGAAGTAGTATTAAGATAGAGTTTTTCACGCGGACCGGAATAATATATTAAGGTAAGGCAAGGCATAATATTTATAAGATACACAAGGCATTTTGCCTTGAATATTAATACATATAATATAAAGATCACTATCAAGGTGAGGCATATTATTTATTAATAACTTATTATTATTTTAACGAGTTTTTATGTTTTCGTTTTAGGGTGTTATAGCGAAACTTTTTCAAGTTATCAAGTTAATAATATAACAATATTAAGGTGAGGCATATTAATTATATTTATAAGATACAAAATAATTTTTTTACATAATTATACTTATCCTAATTTAGCCTTATTAAATTTTAGTTTTTTATTTTTAGAATATTTCCTTTGTACCATCTTATATTGTTACAAAAATGGATGTTTTGTCAAGCACGATGATTGGCAATTTTTCTGATGATTCAAATAGTGCTTTAGAATATAGTAAAATCGATAACTCATCAATGAGTGTTACCGACAAAATCCCGAAGAAAAATGAGCCATTTTCTTTAGATCTCCAATTTGAGGATTTATTCCATGTTGTAGATGGTACAGTTAAATGAATAAATTTTATAAAGAAGCATTTTTAAAGTGTTTTAGGAAAGCTGCAATATATCCTTGCGATTTGAACTTTCGCTATGCACGAGTAAATAAAAAAAGTGCTCATATTAGAGCTCATTGTCCCAAGAATCGCAATCAAAAGGAGGAAAAGGATGTTGGAAATTGCATGATATTTAATGCTCACATTAAATTTGATCCTCATCAAAAAATGATTAAAGAAATTTTAATCATACCTGAAGGTATACTTAATCATGGTACAGATACTAATCCAATTCTTATGTGTAGGGAACTAAGAGAAAAGACAGAGATGATTTAAAAAAAAAACTTAAACATCAAAAACCGGCAGCATGTCGTCTTGAGCAGTTCGAAGATATGATAACAGAATTTCCTGAATCATATGAAAATTTTGGTAAAGTATACAATCTACCTTCACAGGTTTGCATGCGTCAGGCAAAGTCTGAAGAAAAGAAGAAAAATAAATTCTATCCCGACGACAATGTGGATCTAGTCCTTATGATGTTACGGGAAATGACAATTTCACCGAAAAAGCAAATTTCCACACACCACAGCTATGCAAGCATTCATGCATTAATCCAAGGTTGCAATAATACAAATTTCTTTGATTATAATAATAAGTGATATATATATTTGAATGATAATAGTTAGTTACGGGATCCATCTCGTACGCATACAACTATATACGATTGCATACGACCGCAGACGACTGCAGACAACTGCATACGACCGCATGCAAATCGTCACAAAAACGTACCTGTTATATAATCAATTGTTACCTATATAAGAGGCGGGATTTATATACTGATATGATTATTATATATCAAATTGACCGGTACACTTGCTAGTCGGGATTTTATTTTGTATATTATAAATATATTGTAGAATTAAAGAAATAAAGATTTACTTTTGTAACCAAGTATATAATTAGTTTTAAATTTTTTACAGAAAACAACATTGCATTTATGTTGCAGTCATTTCACAAAGAGACTGTCATATCATGCAAAAGAATTTGCAAATGGTAATCAGGAAATAATATCGTTAGCTGTAGGTCAATTATTTTTCATTTAGGTGAAAGATGTAGAGATTTAAACCATGCTCGAAAAATGTTCACTCATATTGTGTGGATTTTAGGTAGCAAATATCATAATGTACAAATAGATTTAGCAATCAAGGAAATAAATCTATTTTAAAATAATGACTCAGTGTCACACAAGACAATCTTGACTGATACTGATGTTTCAGAAATGAATGATCGTGAACCATGTCGAGATCTTTTACGAAATAGTCTATTTTATAAAGATTTCCTTCATATTAAATGCGAAGCCGAAAAGATTATGCCGAAAGAAGGATTTACTAATCGTTTTTGCTTTCCAGGTTTCCTAAATTATGTAAAGGACAGGTATATTCCAATTATACCTTTATGGTCAGGTCTAATGCTAGATAATGACAGAAAACATTTGTATTCAAATACTGCTGTCGAATTATTTTTCAATACATTAAAGAACAGTATCTGCCATGGTAATAAATATATGAAACCGTCACATTTCATAGATACAATTGAACATTTGATGACGCAAGTCAAAAAAAGTTAAGCATGGAAAACAATATTTAAAAAAATGAAAAAACCAACACAGTAAATAAAGTAACCGAAAAATTAAATAAGGGCCATAGCACGACAGTAGATATTAGAGATGCAAAGGAAACATAGAACAAAAAATCTAATAATCCGGTCAATTTTTACCGATGTAGGAAAAATGCTTTTCCTTAATCAAATAACTCTGCTGACTCTAGTACAGATCTAAAAATAGGTTTGTATCCTAACAATAATTGTTAACGTAGCTATAGATTTTCATTTCTATATAAAACCTTCATGTATAATAGGGATATATTGTATACTATAGGATTTTTTGGTAAATATGCCATTAAATTGAATAATTTTTTTACTTTATATGAAAATGAGTGGTTAGATGACATAATCATCGACTCTTACTTAGCATCACTTGAATATGGTAGCAAAAAATTCAACATTTTAAGTGTTCATGAATATGATCATATTATAAATTACTAGCAAACCCGACGAACTCCGTTTCGCCACCAGATGGTTTCGTGAGAAAGATGAAGAAATTTTTTTTTGTTTTATATTTTAAAAGGAAAAATTTGATTTTATTATACAACAGTAACGAATTTATTTTGATTACAAAAATGAAGTGTTTTTTATTTGAACTTCTCTAAGTAAATGAAAGTGAATCCGCAAATTACCCATTTATGGAAGTGATCTTTGGTAAACCACATTTTTTGTTTTTTGGTCTGACGTTAACACAAACAAAGCGGATGGTTTTCCAACTCGTGAACAGGCACCATATAACTGCCCATGTAAAAAACAATGATTTTCTAAATAATCTATATGAAATTTATCCCGCAAACACTAAGCGTTTGGCCTTGCGACATGTTATTGCGAACGCAAGGCGAACTGGATATTGCAATCGTTTGAAGTCAAACGGAAAACCAGTCAGAATCATTGGTATGTCACCAAATCGCCAGCAATTTTTGATTGAATGGTGAAATTCAGGGCGTGTACATCATTATTCTTTGCGGCAAGAATTGCTCGTTGACTTAACCAAGCATAATTCTGATAATTCTCACTAATGTCATTACTCGAATTTTTAATTACGGTGCGTAAAAATCCAGCAGCTTGCATTAAGGCACGATGTCATGCACAACTAATTTTCTTAGCTATAAACCTTGCGGAGCCCGAGACCTTTCCAACGAATGCAAAATTGTCGAAATCGGTTCGTGCGTTCTGGAGTTATTTCATCAGGAAGGAAAACCCGACTTATTTTTATATATATATAGAAAATAATCTATTTGAAATTATTTAAAACAGTTATTGATTTTTATTACTCGAATTTTTAATTACGGTGCGTGAAGTTCCAGCAGCTTGCATTAAGGCACGATGCCATGCACAACTAATTTTCTTAGCTATACCCCTTGCGGAGCCCGAGACCTTTCCAACGAATGCAAAATTGTCGAAATCGGTTCGTGCGTTCTGGAGTTATTTCGTCAGGCAGGGAAACCCGACTTATTTTTATATATATAGAAGACTAGCTGTAAGTGGAATTCTGTCTTAAGGCAATTAAGGCATCGTGCCTTAAGGCAAATTGCTGGAACTTCCCGTACCAAAAATTATTATTTTTTAAAAACGATTAACATTTTTGAAAAAAATTTACTTCGAAAAAATAAGATTTTGGACAAACAATTAGACAAAAAATTACTTTTTTTAAAAAAAAAATAATTTTTAATTTTTTTTTAATTTTTTTTTTTTGAAAAAAAAATGTTTTCTTTATTTTGACATATTTTGAAAGATCTAAACTTTTTTTCAAAGCAATCGTACTGCATAAAGACGAAATATCAAACCGCGTAAGCGCCGCGTCGACGTCTAACGCGTAAACATTGGTACGGAACCCATAGGAATGTAAACCAAAATTATACTTATTGTTAAAATCTCTATAAAATATCTGATAATTTGATGTGCATATGTCTAATGATCATTTTTGACCGCCAAATGGCATTTTTTTTTACTTTTTTCATTAGATCTCCGAAACCGCTAGACCTGCCTTTATGAAAATTTGATCGGTTCTTCACCTTGTCAATACAAGTAAAATGTTTTTTGAATTATTAAAATCGGACGCTCCGTTCTCTTAAAAACTGAGTTACCGTTTTCGCCACTTTTTGCCCCGTATCTTCGGAACGGCTAGACCTGCCTCCACCAAAAACTAATCAGCACGTCTCCTTATCAATACGAATCGAATGTTTTTCGAATTATTCAAATCGGTTGATCGATGTTCCCGAAATCGTCGACGAAAATTTGTATCCGCACATACATACACACACATACATACACACACACACACACACACACACACACAACATCCATTTTTTCTAAGGTATGCCAAAATATTCAGAAACCTTTGAAACGTCGAGAAATGCAAAAATTTTCATTTTCGATTTTTTTGCAATTACTATAACTTGCCCTACGGGAAGTTAATAATAATGATAACTTTCCACGTTTTCATAAAGTAATTTCTCCCCAACAGATCGATAGTTATTGTTGGGGACAATCAAAAATGCATACTGTTTATTAAATAACACTAAATGAAATTATATAGTAGTAAGTAGAATATAATTCATGGTATGAACATGAACTAAATTCAGAATTATCACTTATCAAATGCGAAAATAATTGTAATTTTACAACAATGTAAGCAGAGCTGCTTCATCTTAATATTGGTTCGTCTAGAACAAGTGATTCCCAAAGTGGTCCATGTCAACGAAGAGGGAATATGGATATCCACGATAGTGGATCACAACTCAACTTGTTAATATATATTTTATTATTAAGAAATCAATTAATAAATGTCTTAATTTGGATTAGTATCTTTACTTGAAATGTTTGCATAAGGAGATTGACTTGATCTTGCCATTGAAGACGGTGGAGAAATTGAATATACTAGAAATGTGTCTGAAGGATAACAACGAGTTATTCATTTATAAAAAATTGTTGGAAAAATTCGTGCAAGTAACTAGAATTAAATAGTATTCATAACATCATGATCTGCTTATCAACCAGAATAATAATTCAATACATCAAGCAGATCTGTATATTGTGATAAAGATGTAAAACGGCGAATGTTACTTCGACGATGTTATAAGAAGTTTTTGCGACCCAAATCTAGTAAATGAAAACAAATGAAGCGAAGTGACTGCCAACGATGAGATCCAATTCGAAGTCATCGAATATAACTTTTACGCTCTCCGTGAC